CAGCCACCTGCGTCCTATCCCACCTCCGATCTTCTTGACTCTGTTTTGACACCGGGTGGCAAAGGTGGATGAGGGAAGAGCGAATGCGGTAGATGCAGCGCGCAAGTCTATCATCACTTAAAGCTAATTCACGCACAATTCACCGTTCCTCCCTGCATTGAGGAACGTTGAGAGTAATTCTCTTTTTCCCCTTTATCATGGCTTTTTTACACATCAAATCATGTAGGTTTGCAAATGTGAACTTTTGAAATCTATAAAACGCTTATATTCCTAAAAATAACCTGCTCACCTGCAACTGACTTAGTTTTGATTACCTGAAAAAAGATCAATTTTCAGGTATGGCAACTTCCGCGTGGTGGTGATGAAATCGATAAAATGCCTAAATATCGAAAAATAACCCGCTCGCCTGCAACTGGCTTAATTTTGATTACTTTAAGAAAAAAAATCAATTTTCAGGTATGGCGACTTCTATGTGGCGGTTGTCGACAGTTGATGGTCTTAATTATCGTCATCAATCTTTATGAAATTGGTCTTCACGCTAGGATCGCAGGCTCAGTGTGCTTGCGACCCATCGCCTAAACAGTTAAATGTGTGAAAAAGAAGCGCTCTGTACACCCAAACTTGTTTAAAACATGCTTCCAGCACGAGTACTTCTTAAAGGGTCTTATGCATGTTTGGTCAAGTATCTGCTTCCGTTACTGCTGTGAGGGTTTCGGCCAATCCCTGGGTCTCCTAGCGATCTTTATGGCGTTCTTAGACTAACTCCCATTCAAAAGTGCTCATATTTTTGCTGGCGGCATACAGGAAACCACATGTAGGAAGGCCGAGGGTACCTCTAGGCATTCGAATCCCCCTAATCATTGGATTTTCAGGTACCGAATCAAATACCGGCAATTGCCTATCTTATAAAAGGCGCATGAATTGAGCACGCAAATTACTGTTTTGCACAATCAACCGAAGTATCGTTCTTAAAAGGAGGGAATATTGCGGTTTATAGACATAATAGTATGATGTTGCATAATACAAACGTTTTTGAGAAAAACGGAGAATTCTGTAAAAGTAAACACGGGTTTTCTACTTAGACTTCAGTTTGGAATTTATAGAAGACGTGTTCGTGCAAGCACAGGGGGTAATAGAGAAGTACAAGTAGTATTGTGTTGGAAAATAGTCATTTAGTGAGTTCTTAGGAGATAAATTTGGACATATTATACGAGATGTTAGCGAGCAGCCCAAATTTCGAGTAGGTGTTCCAACATGGTTTCACGAGAACCGCCTCTTCTTCCTTCCGTTTATACATTGCTGGGAATGCATTGAACTAAGGAAACCAGCTTTTTATTTGACTGCGCCGATTAGGAAGTCACATGCATAAGATACTTCATAAACGCACATGTGGGCATGCAAATCAGTGACTAATACATCCAAATAGAATTTTAAGATGAAATCATATGCGTACCATTTTGTTCATAGTATAACAAGCACAAAAAAGAGGCTTTGATCAGCATAGAAATTCCTTGGATCTCAAGAAAGGTTGGATTTTGTCCACCCTTGCCTATTTTTTCTTCAAAACACTGAGTTGAACTGATTCTCTTCAAGTAAATATCATTTTGCGCCTCGAATCAATCCAATTAACAAATATAACAGCCTCAAATGTGTGTTAAACTGTCCCCTGAAAGTTCGATCTTCACATATCATGGGTTAGACCATCTACTATTAATTGACAAGTCGGATTTTTTGAAGTTGATAGAACGTCTAGGGTTGCACCCGGCCTACTTTTGAGTACGTGAAGAAATAAAACAATTTTCAAATATGAAAAGCTCCGTGTGGTTGACGACGATAATTTATCATCTCAATTTTAGTTGTCATATTTAATTAGATAGGTCTCCGCGCTAGGAGCACAGGCGCTGCGTGCTTGCGACCCGTCATCTAACCAGGTAAATGAGTGAAAACACACATGAAAGGGCTTCGGGCAATCGGTGGATGGTTAGAGCATTCAACTTCTGGTCAAAAGGTCGAGAGCTGGAACCTCCGATGAGGCAGCACTTGAGGTTGGTTATGA